TACTGTGTGTACTGTGTTCTCTGGCAGTTTAATGGTGTTGCTGTTGTTGCCCTGCTGACATTCTCCTGCCCTCTGATGAGGCAGTCTGTCTATTGATCAGGAAACATACCTGAACTGTATACACACACACACACACACACACACACACACACACACACACACACACACACACACACACACACACACACACCTGCTGGGTGTTAATGAGCCGTGGGATCGATTGTGGTGCTGCCACAGTGGATTTCCTGTCCTTCGGTCCTGGACTCTCCCAGGTATGAACCTATCACACTTACATTATTCAGCAGATATCGAACCTGCGACCATCAGGACAGGTCAGTGATGTCGTACAGGTGTTTGTCTACAGTGAACAGTTGGAGGTGGAGGATAAATATCAACATTAGCAAGCTAATAGTTTGACAGTCGTCTTGTTAAGTCCCTGATGCAGGCTGCAGAGTCGATGTAGACCAAACAAAACCCGAATTAAACTCATCTCTCCTGACATCAATTATAGAAATGACACAAAGTACTAAAAGTGTATAAAAAGAAGAAGAAAGGGGTTCGGTTAAGCTTAAAGTTGCAGTTCCTCCAATGGCCACATACATAGAAATCGGTAACTTCCTCCTGTGACCACCTTCTTATCCCAGCTGGGTGTCTGGGGGACGTACATATTGATGGCTTGGATCTTATTCCTGCCGTTCAGCTTCTCAGCACGTGTCGCTCTTACAGTCCGAATGACATCCTGATGTCCTCACAGCAGATCCTGATTATGTGGATCGCTGAGTCGATGCCTCGCTCTATCGTGGCGTACAGAAGTCGTCCACGTACAGGATGTGACTGACGGTCACTCCACTCCTGAATCTATGTGCGTCTCTGCTTTTGACGATGAGCTTCAGGTCTATGGAGAACACTGCCGGGGACGGTGCTTCGTATCTTTATCTTCCACGCTTGCGTGGTTGCCTTGGAGTTGGCCTCCAGCGTTTTCTTTACTATGATTTTTCCGTACTCTTGGCAGGCTTCCACGTGTTCACCAATCAATAGAACGTGGGCTTTTAAGGAATGGAGGAGCTACAAGGAGATGTGCGATGTGCTAGACTAAAACTTGTGAAGAGCTGGATTTAGCCCACAGACCTCAAGCTTCAGTGTCAGAGAACTGGGTTAAGAGATTTAGAGGTAGACATGAGTCTTGCACATCTCCTCTCAAATAAGCATTTTCATTTGTTTCTACAAGTATCGGAAAGCAGTAAGTTAATAACTACACGATTCTTTTAACGTCGAGTGAGTCAGACATTGTTGACCTGATCTGGGCAGGATAACTGGCAGCGTCAGGATCTGATAATCAGAGTGAGCGACGGAGACGTTTCTCCTCCCTCAGTCCCACTGAGCAGGTACGAGGACGCAAATACACGACAGTAATTAAAGACGCTGACCTGTTTTTTTTTCTGCGAGACTGTAGGCCTACATTCAGCATGATGGTGCGTTCACTGACACGTGCGCACCCGGTTAGTGACGAAGTTAATCCCATTCAGTTTCACTTCGGTGCGTGAGCCATGGATCCTGCTGGACGCCTCAGCCTCAGGTCCAGAGACAAACCAAAGAGAGGTGGAGCCTTCGTCTTTAACGGCGCTGAAATGACCTGTTTGCTGAAAGTGTTTCACACTTCTCTGCAGGATTTCACTCTTCAGAAAGAAAAATGAGATGATCTGGATCAGAACCAGATCCTAAAACCCCCAAAATTTGCTTTAATCAGCAGATTTAACAGGAGAATAGCTGCAGCAGCTCAGTACGCCGTAATATTAGGTCAGTCACAAAGGAAGCAAAGGTTACCAGTGTTTTAGCATAAGTGCCCACCCCCATAATAATAAGATCTTGTGGTCACCACAGATGCTCTGAGTTCTCGGTTTGGACTGATTACTGGTAACACTGGGCCTATACATGCCCCTCGGTAGGCTTACAGAGCTGGTCAATCAGATGAAAGCTCACTTATCGGGAGGGCTTAAAGAAACTGTAATGTAATGTAAAGCTATGCCTTGGAGTACCAGAATAAAAATATGGATCTGTATTATTTTCCATTTACACATCAATGCAGAAACAACAAGGAAAGAATATAAACACGGTAATTAAAACACAAACATGCAGCTATTAACAGCTACTGGATGCCAGAAATATGACAGCAAATGAAGCCAACACACAGGTGCAGTCCCTCTAATGTCCACAGGGGGCTCCAGAGTCAGTCCAAAAAGACTCCCACGATGAAATGTCCAACAGCAGAAATAAGCGCGTTTACAGCCTGACAGAAAAACTATTTTGGTCTCTATAAATCATTTCTTCCTTCGTAGGACAATTTATTAATAACTCACCTGTTTAAATTGTATTAAGGTTTAAAGTTTGCATTAATAGATCCATTGGTGACACAGGCGGCTGTAGCTGCTAGCGGTCTGCTAGCACCTGAACTGCACCTCTGGACTGTGTTTGTGCTGTTGGAGCCGTTTTAATGACATTATCTGACCAATAGCACGACTGCTGAGAGGTTAATTGTATTAACAAACAGTTGTAGAAGCATTAGTAGTAAGAGGTCTGAAATAAAGAGGCTTCAGTGGAAATCTTATGCCAAAGAATCGTTTAACGAATCTAGAAAAAAGCTGTATTTTAATCCATATTTGAAATACTTGTTGTAGATTTATCTCTTTCATAATGAAGCTCAGACTCAGCCGTGTGCACAGAGCTGGGATCAGTTTTCTCTGGGTTTGTCTCCCCACCTGAGGCTGCAGCTTTCCAGCATTCACAGCGTGATCAGATGTGAAGCGATGAGTGAATCATTTCTGCTCTGAGCGCAGAACGACAGGACGGCGGGCTGAGTGTCAGATCACGTCGTTGCCTGCGGGCTCAGAGAGCGTTTCCTGACTTGGAGCAGATCTCACGGTTATTCAGCCCCGGCGACGTGTTCGTGAGCCGTGTGTGCTGCCGCTGTAGAGATGCAGCGGGAATAAAGATGCCTTTATGTAACCCTGCAGTTGACTTCACAGCCTCTGACAGGAAGTGTGAGCGCGGAACAGCAGAGACGCTTCAGAGCAGAAACTGAGAGGTTGCAGAGCTCGACAATTTAACATGCACCTTGTTGCCGTTGTTTTAAACTACATGCTTCATGGAAAAAGTGAAGACTTTTACTGCACCGCGTTTATCTGCTCCCTCCGTGAATAAATCAGAATCTCCTCAGGGCTTCTGCTCCACAATAAAACCCACAGCAGCAAGAGATGGGCCACAAATCACTGTTAAATAAGCCGTCTGCTATGTAGTAATATAAATGTAAATATCTGGTTTCATCAGGAATATGATCAGATGATGAAAAGATCAGGATTTGTCTGAACATTTCTGTTTCCTGCACCCATCCATCCACCCCAACCTCCTCGATACACAACCAAACAAACTCAATGTGGGTGGACCAACACAGAAGAGCTACTCTGCAGTCTATTTACACCTACAGGCCAGTGGACACTCTTTCAAGGATGAGGATGTAACATCCTGGACAGGGAGGAACGCTGGTTTGAGGGCGGAGTCAAGGAGGCCATTTACGTGAAAAGGGAAAGACCATCTCTGAATCGAGGAGGGGGCCTAAGGGTCCATCTGTCCCCATCTTACATGCTGTGATTGCAGCCATTCCCCAACTCTCTGTGAATGGGACTCATGACCATTGATGTCAATTTGCATATTAATGATAAAGAAAGTGACCTCCCAGCCCATTGGCTGGTTTCAGTCATTGTCCAAATGTCCTGTTTATAAGGTTGAAACCTGCAGTCCGCTGAGACTGCAGACGTCACCTGATGATGATGAAACGCCACTGAAACCTCCAGATGAACAGACTCAACCTTTTGGGATCTCCTTACCTGGATGATTGAGCATCAAGACACTCAGTATGCCTCAGTTTCCTTAAGTGTGGATTTTTGCCATAATGGAGCAGCCCTGTGGGAGAGCCGCCTCTTGCAACAGACTTTCCTTCTCAAAGTGACACTAAGCTGCTTCGTAGGGGCAGGGATAGCTCAGTAGGTAGATTGGTCGGATATGATCGGAAGGTCGGGGGTTCGAATCCATTGAACGGCTACCCTGAGGTACCCCTGAGCGAGGTATTGTCCCCACACACTGCTCCCTGGGCGCTAGATTGGTGGCTGCCCACTGCTTTGCTGAGTGAATGGGTCACATGCAGAGAGGAATTTTTTATTAATGTTCAAAATGATGAGGACTATGTGGCAATTTTCTAGAGAAGTGTGCTTGTTGCTAATAATTCTGTAATAATTATAGTTTTTGAATTTTCTCAAACTGTGTCCTGCTACAAAAACAACCCCAAAATCCTAAAATTCAGTTGTTTTATTTTTCAATTAGGTCAGTGAAAATGTAGCTTTTGAAGTTGTTTTCATGCTGATGCTCTCCAGAACATGTTTGTGCGCGGATTGTGCTGCAAAAGATTGTGGTATCAGACAGCGCCGTGTTGTTTGCAGGATTCCGAGGTTTTTTATCGCCAGCTGCTTTTGCCTTTCCTGTAGATATATTTTCAAAACAAAAGCAGAAAATCCTCATTTTAAAATTGATCAGAGCCTAAATGAGGTCTTCTAACCACGCACGTGTCCAGATCTGGTCACTTTTGGGTCCAAACAAACAAAATGTTTGCGCACAGTGCAGAAGCCAGCGGTTGGCTGTAATTTGTGATGATCTGGTTTGAAGATTAAAGTGAAACGAAAGGATTTTTTTCTCTAACATGCACGACTCCGACAGCGGGGCGCCTCGATGCTGATGTTGCTCTGTAGTAACCAGTCGTCCTGCGGCGTGTAACGCGCTCGTGTGCGTCGGGATGCTGCAGTGAAGATGGAGTGGTCTGATGTGGGAGCAACATGAAACATCAGGCGGAATATTTTTAGGAGCTTCTTCCACACCTCCACCTCTCCTCTCTCCATCTCTCTCTCTCTCCTCGATCTCTCACTGACGGCTGCTCTCTTTTCTCCTCGCTCCTCTCTCTTCACATTCAGCAGCTCTCAGCCTGCGAGGAAGAGGAGGAGGAGGAGGAGAGGATGAGGCAGGAGAACAGAGTAGAGTAAAATAGAGCAGAGCGGAGTGCATGCGAGTGGAATCGGCGGCTTTATCGGCTCTTCTCTGGGATAATTCTGAACTTCTCGGGTTTGTTCCTCTTTTTCTGCATGTCGGGAAGTTGTTGACGAGCTGATGTAGGCGGGTGGATGAAGATGCTTTCCTCTCGCTCCACAGAGATGTGAAGAAACGTCACGGTGAAGCTCTTTGATTCTTCTGTTTGTGGCGCGTAAATCGAGAAAATCCCTGCTGCCATGTGCGCTTCCATCGGAGCGTCTGAAAGATGGAGGCGACCTAAAGTGATAAATTACCCAGCAGACACGATGAGCTCCTCGATCGAGGCGTAATCACTCATCAAATGTTCATTCAGAGTTTTTCTTTATTCCTTTAATAATTGTCTCCAGGCCAGTGCTGCGTCTTAACTTGTGTGGGAACCTGTAGGGTTATTTAGGGAACAGGTATTCTCTTCTTCTCTGGATATTTAAAGTTTCCGTCTTTCAGAGCTCCATCAGGATTTGTGATCTATTTCCAAACCCTCAGCTGAAGAGTGCGGGGACTTCATCACCGTTCTTTGGATTAGTCGTCAGAAAGGAAGCCTCAACATGTAAACATATACTCATAAATCAACTATTTAAACTGTTTAAGAGGAATATCTGTTTCCTAACATCGGAGTGCACACAGGTTTTGTGCGGTGAATCGCACGAACGTGAAACGACTTCCGGGTTCTTCACTTTTGTGGATTTTCAGGATCCTTCTGGTGTTTTTCTTTTGAAGCCTGTACGTGTGACCGTTGTGCATCAGCTGTTCCACACAGTGGATCTCTAACGTTTTGGTTCTTAATCAACGATCTGCCATAAGGGAGAAGATTTTTCATCTTGGCTCGGTCCCTCCGAGGCCCGTCAGGCGACATGTCACCTGTTTCGGACTGAAGGGTCGTCAGCCTCAGACTCGGACAGCAGGAGCAGATATTTTGTTCCTCTGTGGCTTCGTCCTCCTCTCAGAGATATGGCGGCGGCTATCGCCAGCTCCCTGATCAGACAGAAGCGCCAGGCCCGCGAGTCCAACAGCGACAAAGTCGCCACTAACAAGCGACGCTCAAGTCCCAGTAAAGACCCGAGGTCTCTGTGTGAGCGACACATCTTCAGCGTCTTTAGCAAAGTTCGCTTCTGCAGCGGAAAGAAAAGACCAGTACGCCGGAAACCAGGTGGGTGGAACGATTCGGAGAGCAAAGGTTTGCCGTGTTACGGCGGGACGGGAACACTGCTCTCACACAGGTTCATGACCACGCTGATCAGAGCAGCTTAGCACGAGTCACCATTCAAAATAATCCTTCTTTATCTTACACAGGGCATCCTTTGTCTTTCTGATTGGCTGTCGCTCGTAAAGTAGCAGATATATGACAGGAAATAACACAGGTCCAATTTAATGTGAACAACCTGCAGCTTTAACTCAGCTTTCCTCTGACTGGCTGGTTTTAACAGCAGGTGAGCAGGCCTTCTGTGCACCTGAGATCGCCATATAAGAACATTTCCTGTCAATGACGCAGGAATCTTTGAGGAAGGAAACCTCCCAACTTGGCAACTTGAACAAATCCGGGCAGTTATTTTGAAGCCCCTCCCCCTCCCCCCTAGTTATTAACGTCGCTTTCAGACGTCTGGCTCCTCCCACTCGACCACTAAACAGACACCTTGGTTGCTGCACAGTTACCTAATCAGAACATCAATCAGTTCTGATCAGGTAACCGTGCTTACCCCCCCTCCCCCGATGGAGACAGTGGCTCAGCTGGAGGCGCGAGGAATTGCAGCGTCCGCGACCACTGTGTACATCGGCGTACCCCCGCCCGTATGCTGCTTGTCTGTGTTTCATGGCGTAGAGTGTGATGATATCTGTGCTTCTTTGTGTGCTATGGAGTTTTCTGTGCTTTCTCCTTATGATGACTCACTTGTTGGAAGTCATCATGGGCAGAAACCCTTTTTTTTCTCCTGACTTTGCCCCCATATGTTACATATTTCACTGTCTATCCCTTTTTCTAGCCTGACCTGTCTCCCCAGTGTAAGTTTGTATATTGTCTGTAGGTCTGTCATTTCAGCTGCAAGCAACTGCAACTGACAAATAAAGCTTATCCTTATGTTCACTTTGATAAATTCAGATTCAGGGCTTTCCTTACCTGTGTCTGTTGAGGGTCCGTCAACACTGAAGAAGTTCATTGGTTGCCTTGACGAGGACGGTTTCAGCCTTTTAAAGCTCAGAAAGTTGAAGCTCAGCTTTAATTTGAGGTTTCCATGGTGTTGTATGTTCTGTGGGTTCATCATGATACTGGATTGCATAAAGAAAACTCACCTCCCTGTTTGCTGTGGGTTCTTCCATGTTCTCTGTTTCATTTGTAATGAGCGTTGCATCATCAGATCCCCACGGTGTGATTCCAGACGGCATTTTTCTTTTCTTGAAGTAACTGCAAACCTTTATGTTTTTTAGTCCTCCTGCAGAATAACGAGATAAAAGTCGACCTGAACTCGAGCGGCGTTCCCTCCAGAGAAAGCTTCTCGGAGAGCAGCAGCAGAGCGTCGGAGAACTGGACAGATGTCTGCGTTTACACATTTATGAGCTAGCTGCAGCTCTCATCTCTCATTAGCCGACTCCCCGCCGTCGCCTCCGCCTCCTGTTTTCTTGGCAATACAACAAACAGCTTCTTAAAGCTTAAAACTATTACGCAGCACTTGTGCTTGATCAGCTCCTTCAGAGTCTGCAGACTTCAAGTTCTCCAGTAAGGAGCTGGTAGGAAGAGGCCGAGTTATTCATGAGTTGTTCTGCAGCTGGTGAAGTCGGCGTTCAGCTCAACGTCAGCACTTTGCCCCGCTTTGATGTTTCGCCCTCAGTGAGTCCTCTGCTAATGAGATCTGTTACTGCATGAAGCCTTTTTGAAGCCCTAAAGATTTCACCCCCAACTTTGCTCAAGTTCAAATCAAAACACGACCGCGTGCCTCCAGTATCCTTCAGCAGCACTTCCAGGTTTTCCTTCGGCTTTTTCGCCACCTTTTTGTGCAGAATCGACCACACACAGGGGCAAAGTGCGGCCTGAGGGCCAGAATCAAGCCGCTCGCCCTCTCAGTCTGCAATGTCCTAAAAGGAAAACTGTGATGTGTAGTGGGCTTGAAACAGGTAGGAAAGTTGCAGAGAAGGTTCTGGTAGCTCATCGCTCAGACTGTCCTGTAATTATGCATTTACAATGTAAAGTTTTCATTAATTCACAGAGCATATCCTGTAGTTTGGTGTGGCGTGGAGAGAAAACTGCAAAACTTAAAGTGGGCCGGATTGGAGTCATCGTCGGGCAGATTCTGGCCCACGAGCCTCATGTTTGACACTCCTGATTTACACCATCACTGTGTTGGTGTGTGGAAACCAGTAATGAGGTCCATGAGCTATTTCCTCGTCTTTTCTTTCAGGTGTCGCCCCCTGGTGGCCTTTAAAAGGAATGCACATTTAGAAAACGTTGGCTTTCGTACCATCTCGGGTCATCGATAAATATATGTAAGAGATGAGCAGGTGGTTTTCTTTCATCGATGTCACGGTTCCTTCGTGTAGAAAGCTCCCACAGCAGCAGACGGCGTTCTTAGTTCAGCGTTTATCGTTTCGCTGCGACTCGGGAAGACGAGGTTGGGTTTTAAAGGCGCTGTCAGTCTGATCACGCCTGAGCTCGGGGAGCAGCGTGTGACGAGGTGTTTTGTCGCCCGCGGCCTCACAGATGTTAAAACTCACAGCTTGTCTTCACACAGCGTGACACACACTCACAGATATAGCTCCTGGATCCGTGCTTATAATTAGAGATTACACCTTGCAGATGTTTCGTGACTGTCGGTGTTTGAATCGTCAGCACGCTGACTTTGGATTCTGAACATCAAAACACAGCGTGAGGTACGCCACTGCCCTCTAAAGTAAACCAGCTGACTTCTATGGCCTTCCTTTAAAATGCACTGATGACATAAATATGTGGGAAAACAACTGAATGTATTTATGAACGTAAAAATGACCAGAAATAAATAAGTTGGCTCCTTGAATATAAACTTTAGGTCCTTATTGGTATTTAGTTAATATTAATTTCTGTTTGACACCTTAAATCCTTTAAAGTGATCATGTTGGAGGCTATTATTATTCTCTGAATTCATAACAAAGATTGCTTTTACCAGAAAGTAAACCTGTGAGCGAGCACTTGAGCAAGGCGATAGTGGGAAAGAAAAACCCACTTTTAACAGGAAGAAACCTCCAGCAGAGCCAGGCTCAAGGAGGAGCGGGGCCATCAGCTGCGACCGGCTGGGAGTGAGGATGAATTGGATAATAAGGACACACAACGCAGTGGGTCAGTGATGCTGTCGTCAAACAATGTGAAAATCATCCGTTTAAAGCAGGAAGCTGTTTGCATCCACTTCCTCTCTGTGAAACAAGGCCTGTAATACTGTGACTGCATGAAATGTAGGAAGTGTAGATTTATACATGTGAGCTGTTTGACGGGTAATCAGAGTAAAACCAAACGACTTTAATGAGCAGCAGCCAATAAAGGTCTTTGTTTAGGTCGTTGTGTTTTGCAGGGCCGGTTGGTCCTGCTGTGTGTCAGCTCCTCCACACTCACACTCACGTCTGCTCTGTTAAAAGGTGAAGATTTACCTTGTTGTCGTTTCCGGACACGTATGTGTGTCTTCGGTCCTTAAGTAGCACAGCGGCCTGCTCCACATTAGCCTCGCTGTCTTTTTGGTCTATTTCTGCCAGAGATGAGTCCTTCTGGCCCACATTGTCATCTGGAGCATCACTTCGTCTGCTCAGCTTCTACCGTGTTTACGTCCTCAGACCTTCAGCTCGGTGTTAAAGTCAAGCAGGAGGGACTCGCGTGCTGAGCCGTGGCCTCAGGGTTTGTCTCTGGGGCACATGTGACACCCTGGGGTTTGAACCATGTGTGTTTGTGTGCCCTTAAGCTTCACGTGGCCCAGGCTGGAAACCCATCAGCAGCCATCTGCTAACTCTGAGGGCAAAGGTCACTGATTTGGGGCTTCAGGAACTTCCTGACTCTCTCCACACAGATTGGAGGGTTTCCGATGGTCATGTTTAAACATGTTCTTAAACTAGTGGCTGACACACTGTTAGTGTTATATGTCTTATGCAAGCAAAGGGTGAACTGCGGATTTATCAGCTAATGCTAGCTAGCGTGATTTGCAAGCTGACTGCACAGGTGTGACAGTTCTCTGCGGTCGAGTCTGTGTGAGGAACGCTGGACGGGAAATGTTGGGATGTACGCTTGTTTCTTCTTCTTCTTCTCAAATGTGAAAGTAGAGAAGAAGAAGAAACGCTTACATGAGTGAGATAAACTCAGCAATGCTACCTGACAACCTGCTGTCAGGTACAGTGTGCGTGTGTGTGTGTGCTGAACCTCACATCGGTCTTTGTGTTTCAGAGCCGCAGCTGAAGGGCATCGTGACGCGCCTCTTCAGCGAGCAGGGCTTCTTCCTGCAGATGCAGCCCGAAGGAGCCATCAGCGGCACCAAGGACGAGAACAGCGACTACAGTGAGTCCCACATTAAAACTGTATTTGTCTAGACCAGGGGTGCCCAATCCCGGTCCTCGAGAGCTACCGTCCTGCAGCTTTTAGATGCATCCTTGTTCCAACACACCCGAATCAAATGAATGGCTTGTTATCAGGCCTTTGCCAAACACGATGGCATGCTGAAGAGGTAATCAAACCATTTGATTCAGCTGTGTTGGAGTAGGGATGCATCTAAAAGCTGCAGGATAGTAGCTCTCGAGGACTGGGATTGGGCAGCCCTGGTCTAGACCGCACGCTACATAAAAAATGGGCGTGGCTTCTCTGTCTGAAGAGTGAAGAGAAAATGCCTCACACCTGTACTCTTTTTAATGGCCTCCAGGGGGCGATCCTGAGGGTTTATGGGCTCGTTTTGGGTCAAGCTAAATAAAAAGATGAGGTCATTTTCTAAAGTTTGGTGTCAGGAGTCGGTTTTATGAAGGGTTCAGTGAGCATGTTGTTTCACACTCACTACTGTGTGATGTCGTGGTCGCTACCTCCAACTTTTATGGAAAGAGCCACAGCCAAAGTGTAAAAGCACCGTGGATCATCCGATGTCAAACAAGAGAACAGCTCAGAAAGGTGAAACATTACACAGAAGAAGGATCTCAAACACAACAGCTCATTAAATCAGAACATAAACATAATCCAACAATCTTCTGCTGCTTCCCTGGGTTTGGGTCATGAAGTCTAACCAGAGAAGTCCGGACCCCCTTTGCCCCAGCCAGCTCCTCCAGCTCATCCGGGGGGATTTGATCCCAGCCAGCTGAGATATAATCTCTCCAGTGAGTCCTGGGTCTGCCCGGTCCTCCTCCCGGTCGGTCTTGCTTATTCGATGTGGAGGACCAGCAGATCTGCTCTGAGCCCCATCACTAAGTGCGCTTCAAAGGAAATGCATTTCCACAGCTTACACCTGCAGCTCTTTCAGTCACTCCCCACAGGTGAGTGTAGGGATGTCACTCCGCCCCAATCCATCTGTCGCTCTCACACTCCACCCTCCCCTCACTAAAGGCACCTCCCCTACAACGTTGTCATGTTTAACACATTCACTTGGCAAGCAAAAGGTCGTTGGTTCGATTCCACAAATCCCGTTTGGGGTTGCGTCAGAAAACAGAGCTGAAGCTGCATCTGGCGTCTGTAACAGAGTGATCCGAGGTGGAGCAGTCTGAAGGCAGCTTCTGATCGTCGATACTCGGTCACGTTCCCGCTGCAGGTCTTTGTTTCTCGGCTGGATGAGCTCAGGATTACAGCCTCTGCTGCTTCCTGTAAATCCTTTTGGTTTGGAAAAAAGAAGCAAAAACAGGACAAGAAGAGGAGGAGGAGATGTTTTGGATTCCCCTCTCTCCCCCTCTCGCTTTCTCTCTGATCATCTCTGAGTTAAATAAAGGAGGATTAACCACAGCCATTGCCACAGGCCTCTTCCTCCTCCACCTCCTCCTACTCCTCATCCTCACCCACACTGCAGCTCTCTGTCCCCGAGGATTAAATCACCTCTCATCACTGCGTCCCTCTATCACCCCCCCTCTCGCTCTCTCTCTGCTTTTATTCAGTCTTTTTCTCTCGCTTTATCAGCTGGAAGCACATCAGCAGGCTGAGCCGGGTTTTAACCACCGTTACAGATCGACTAAAAGCACAAGAATTCACAGTTTGAGGAGGTGTAATGGGATTTTTTAATGCTGAGTGGGTCTGATTTACACAGGTGCAGAAGATTTAAAGCAGAGATGGAGGAATCACTGCTGGTTTATTAATTTAAACCTGCTCTGTGCGACTCTTCGTGACATTTTCATTTCTGACACTTTTTACTGCAAATGTGAGAACAGATAGAAGCAGACGTTTCTGTAGTTTGCAGGTTTGTGTGTTAACACAATGCAGAGGAGGAAAGGCATCAGCAACGAGCTTAAAGAAGCATCAGTTGATGTCCATCGGTCACGCAGGGATAAGGCCATCGCCAAAGAATCTCAAGTCCGTTATTCCACAGCGGAGGACGGTATCCACACGTGGAAAACACTCAAGACATCATCTCAGGAGTGGATGTCCCAGCAAATTCCCCCCAGGAGACTCTACAGGCCTCTGTTAGCATGCTAGCATGTAACAGCTGAAAAAGGAAAGAATGGAGCTGCTGCAGCGGTCCAGAGTCCGGGTCTCAACCTCCGCCTGGCTGAGACGCTGGGGCCTCGTGGCTAACCCACCATTGATGAATTATTCCAGCAATCACCATTTTCACATCATCCTGCAGTGTTAAACGTTTCTGCTCCGTCTGATATATACGTGCACATATTCATAGAACAAAAATATTCTGGGAGGTCTCGAATTGAGTTTTATTTACACAACAGTCTCCTCAAGGTGCTTCATACTGTAATGTAAACCCTACAATACATACAGAGGAAAACCCAACAATCATATGACCTCCTATGAGGAAGCACTTTGGCGACAGTGGGAAGGAAAAGCTCCCTTTTAACAGGAAGAAACCTGCAGGAGTAAGGAGAGGAAGAGAGCCAGGTCATCAACGTTTGAAATCATGGTCGTTAAGAGGGGAGTTTAGTGCAGTATCTTAGTTCCTCGTTCATCTCCGCCGCTCGATCGTCACATCTGCTTTCAAAACGCCAAATGACTCAACTCGAGGTTTCACAATAAGAGCTCGCTAACTGCGGCAGACTTCCTGGTAGCTCCGTCCGTCTTCTGTGCTCTCTGTGACGTTTTGTATTAATCTACTTCTGCCTCTCACTACCTAACTCTCTCTCTCTGTCTATGTCTCTCGCCCTCCAGCTCTGTTTAACCTGATCCCAGTAGGTTTGAGGGTCGTGGCCATCCAGGGAGTGAAGGCCGCGCTGTACGTGGCCATGAACGCCGAGGGATTCCTCTACACATCTGTAAGAACATCTGCCTCATCCTCATGTCCTTCTTGAGCTTGTTTCGTTAAAGGTTTGGAGCAGGTAAAGCCAGGAGCTCCTGACGTGTCCCCAACAATCATTTTAACTATTAAAACGTCTCGTTGCTGAAAACACTGATAGTCAACTACTGTTTGTGAGGTAATCAGGTGTTACTGCTTTGCTCAAGGGTGACACTGAGATAAAGTTTCTCACTGAAGTGAAAACACTTCTCTCAGTTTTAATCCCCACAAGATCTGATTTCAGATCTTATTTCATTATCTGACCGATCCAGTTCTTCCCCTGCAAAGAGATCCTGCGTTTGTTTTTTCTGTTCCAGCTCGTGTTCAGATGCAAACTCGGTGACATTACGGTACAAAAGTTCCACTTTTAGACAGCGTGTGTAATAATTAATTGATGATGAACAATGGAAGTAGTTAGGAGGACAGCCCTGATCAGACCGAGGACATCTACAGCTGTACTGCTGCTCAGCGAGTCCATCTAACATCCATAATTCACAACACGTGCATAAAACTTTAAAATGCGCCTCTCTGTGCGCAGCATCAGGATGGAGGCAGAGTGGTGGAGGAAGAGGAGGATAACAGCGACGATGTGAGGAAGCTTTCTCAGGCGTGTTAGACACAAAAACTAAATATGAGCTCGCAGCGCGCCCGAAGAAGCTAGCTGTTAGCTGCGATTGTTGGTCGGCGCTGTGGGGAAGATGTAATTCTGAGGAGCGACCATGAACTACCTGTTCTGCAGCGCTCCTATTGGCTGCTGCTGCCTGTCAATCACAGATGTCTCGCCGCCACTGCGATTTGAAGCCGCGGACGCTGACTGTGTGGTAGTTTGAGTCAGTGTAACACGAGCGCGCCTTCGTGGCGGGTATGTGATGAAACCTTGCTGCCACTTTGCAGCTGCGCTTCAGTTCTGCTTCGTGGTTTGATGCCATATATGGAAGTGCAGCTGTTAGTAAATGTTTCTGCACTTGTTAGCTCGATGGTCCTCTTCATGAATCTTAATCATTAATTAATTATTAATTAATCACAAATTGGCCTGATCCCATCTCACCAGTCGGTCCTGACTGCTCAATGCTTTGAAATGTAAATGCTTCCCATCGAGAGCGGGGAGATCACATGACTTCATCCCATCTCTCAGCCCTTCAACCACATGCCGAATAAATCCAGGATGGAAGAGGCAGCCCTGTTTTTTTAGGAGGTAAAGTGAAGATTTGGTTCGGCTCCATAAAATATAAACTCATGTTCTCTCAGGTGTAGCTTCAGATGAAGAGTACAGCAGCTCCTCCTCTTGCTCTGCAGTTATGTAAGAGCATTACAGCATGAGCGGTGAGACAGCTGCAAGTAAAGTTGTGCTGGGAGGCCCGAGCGTCTCGACACTGTTTACTGAAACCATCACGTCTTGATATGAGATGCAGGCTGCGTGCTGGGAGGAAAAAATACGCTTTTCATCATTTATTCTGTTTCCTCTTCCTCCTCGACATCATCGTCACGCTCCATTTGAAGTCCCGTCTTTCCTTCCTCGTGGCTCCTTTTTCCTCTTTATCTGTTGCTGTGTTTGTGTTGGGTTTTATTAAGTGTAGTAGTGACTTCAGCGTGATTCTTATCAGATTCTCAGTCACTCGTGAATCATTTTAAACACTCAGAGACAGATTTGTAATTAGCATCTGTGACATCTCACGGTGAGCAAAGTTTTTACATCAATACAAAGTTTATGACAGGAACGCGTCTCAAAGGTCGGAGCAGGGCAGCAAAAGGCTGGGAGAGGAAGCACAGCGACACATAAACATAATCGGCAACAGATTACAAATAAAAACAGCCTCTAAGCTTCTCCAGGAGCCTGCAGTCCACACCTGCTGACCAAAACTGCTTTTTATTTATTAAGTGATCACAGAATTGAGGTAACTGAACGCCGGCTCTGGCTCTAGGCTAGGGGGGGTTGTTCTGCTCTGATTGGCTCACCTGACCACCTGTTATATCCAGAGGGTGCACACACACACACACACACACACACGCACACACACACACACACGCACACACACACACACACACGCACACACCTGTTATACCTGGAGGGAGGTGCTAAACTGGGACTTTAAACGGCCCAGCAGTCACGTTTGGTGTCCACCACAGCTTCCTGCTCCGTGAAGGATAAAGTGCACGAACAAGACTCACATTAATATTTCAACTTAAAAGCTTTTTGAAGCTTTCAAAATAATGTCGAGTTTTATTCTTCAGCTGCTTTGCACTGAGCTTCTTTTCCCATTTATGTTTTATGGATTATTGAAGTTCTTACAGTTCAGATTCCTTTTGTTTAATTAAAATGTTCTAAAGACTGCAGCAGTGAACAGTTCCTGTGCTCAGTGTGAACCTCAGGCTGAGAATTAAGACCCAGCTTTTGTAAGACTCTCACGTCCTGTTACATGTGACGCTGCGCTGCAGTGCTGCTGACGCTATCGTGTGCGTGTAATGTGATCGATCACCTTCGAGGTGTTTCGTATTGGTCGCAGCTCGTTGGCTGCTTCGCGTGTTGTGTCCTATCACATCCTGCCGTGTTTCTGTGAAGTATCAGCATGTAGTGACCGTTTCCTGTCCTGTCACACCAGGCAGGCAGATTCATATGGAAGTAAAATGATGACAAAAGCTTTGAGCACAAACTGAACCGTGACGCTAAAAGGCTGCTGGTCAGCACTCGACGCTGTTCATTTCAAAATAAAAGCCCCAAGTTTAAACTTCAAAATAAAACTCAGATAAAAGCAGTCGAGTCGTGCAATCAAACATGTGGACGCACAGAGATGTGAAGCAGGCGGTCGTGTAAGGAAAACTACAAAATGATCTCTCTGCTGATTACACTTGAAATGTTTTCTGTGTGTTTGTGTATCAGGATGTGTTCACACCAGAGTGCAAGTTCAAGGAGTCGGTCTTTGAAAACTACTACGTCATCTACTCGTCCACCATGTATCGGCAGCACGAGTCGGGCCGGGCTTGGTTCCTGGGCCTCAATAAGGAAGGAATCATCATGAAGGGAAACCGAGTGAAGAAAACCAAACCGTGCTCACACTTTGTCCCCAGACCCATCGAAGGTGAGACCAGCTGTGGATACAGATGTTGGTGGTGGCGATGCTTTCGTGTCTCACGGGTCAGGCAGAAAGACAAAACACGAGGACGAAGTGTGAATTAGTAACGCCACCGTCGATTTTCTTTATCTGTAAAGAAGGTTTGTGGGTCTGCAGTATTGTTGAGGTCCTCGGGGAACCGTCCTGGAGTTCAAGGCACGCTTGTTTTCTGTTGTCCCAGAGTGAATATTTATCCTTACAGTTCATGACTGATTTTGCAGGTCTGTGATGACGTCAGTCCAACAGTTACATTTCATTTAACCAACAAGTCATCATATTTCAAAACTTTTAATAAGCTAATGTTAAAACTATTTCACATTGTTCTTCTGTGTGCACATGCAGCTGATATCTTCAGCTTCCTCTGCTCCGCGTCAGTGAAAGACACACAAGTTGTGTTTAGAGGGAAGTGTAACCTCGCCTCCCGCTCTGAGCTAAACTCCACACTCTGTATTTTTACAACAAAATGTTTTTTAAGCGCAAACATGAGAGAAGAAGTAGAAAAGTCAGCTTTTTCTCCCAGTTTGGGATTTTTGTACTTTGAAATCGACGGTTCTCCACATGTCTGTAGTTTATCGTAGTAGAAGATGAGTTCAATAAGTGAAATGGGCTTTGAGGTTTTGCATTTAGAGGTGATTTTGTAAATGTAGGTGCTTAACACTGAAACACTGACATCTACATTCTGCTGGAAACGTCCTGATATTAAAACACAGAGGCAGGAAAACGTGTTTCTGAACGTCATATCTCAAAATCCTCAGCCTCACATTCTGACCTACTTCAGGTGAACCGTTGGCCGAGTAAAGCCTACGTAAACACTGACCCTCTTAACAGTAAAGCAGCTGAGACTCGTATTTCCTGGTGAACTTGAACCAGAATTACATAAATTGAAAGAATAGCGAAGCCTTTTAATGTGATATTTTTAGTCCTGTTTGACGATACAACCAGTAAAACGGCAGCTGACTGTGAGACTGGGAGGTTGTGCTGTCGGTTTGTAGGAGCCGTTGTAGCTCAGCTGCTGTGCTCTTAGATCCTGGGAGCAAACGAGAGAGTTTGAGGAAGGCGTGGAGAGCTCAGAGGTGAGCCAGGAGCCGAGGTCGTCCAGCCAGAACTCAGAGTGTGAGGACAAGGTGAAGCTCTAATATCACAGATGGAGGTTTAACTGGAAACACGAAGCTCCGTCTCTGCTTTCAGCTGCTCTGCCCCTCCCCTCTCATCCCTCATCTTCATTTAAAAATATCCATCAACTATACATCTGTCAACTATCACCTTCCTCTCGTCCTTCTGTCAATCTTCTCCTCTTCCTCTGTGTCCTTCAGCCTCCTCCTCTCCCCTTCTTCCTTCTCCCCCCTCGTTAACTCACTGATGTCTTCTTTTACCTCCTCATTTCTGATTCGTTCTTCTTCTTTTCTGTTATTTAACGTCAGCACATAGACCTCGAAGTAGCTGCTAGTTTTAATAGCTTTGTTTTTATACTTTGCATAAAGGTTCAGGTGTGTCCTCGTCCACGCTGGCACAAACTGCACACCTGTTAGTTATGATTATGTCACTGAATGCAGCATCACAGGTTGAACTCTGACATCTGAATTTACGTCTGGATGTCTTTCAGTTTATTTTATGTGTAAATTCGAGAGTTGGTGGTGGCGTGATGCTTTAATGACTCACTGTCTTTCTCCCCCGTCCTCCCCCCGCCCTCCCCCCTGTAGTCTGCATGTATAAGGAGCCGTCGCTGCACGAGCTCGAGGAGAAGCTGCTGAAGTCCTCGAGGAGCCCGACGATGAACAGCGAGGAGCGGGCGAGGAGCCTGGAGAGGGAGCAGCGGGCAGCGGAGTCCTCCACAGAACGAGAGGCGTCGTAGCCTGCAGCGCCACCCGCAGGAGGAAGACGAGGCGAAGGTGGAGGAGGAGGAGGAGAACTCCCATTTTAACACTCCCTCTGTTCAGCAACAACAACAACTACAACCACACCGACGACGACGACAACAACCGCCATAACAACGACGGCGAAAACAAAGAAAAAAAGAAGCTTAAAAAAAGGGGAGGGGGGGCGGTGGGGTCTTCGTGCTCGTTATGAAATATTTTAAATCAAATGGGGGAGGGCGAGGGGGAGGGGCCTGTTTGGAAATGGAAAAAAAATCAAGACGTTGATGATGATGATTTACATTTTATGCAAAGAGCCCTGCTGAAATGGCGCCGAGAGGCTAGCCCACCTACTCTTCATCGCCACATTGTAATCATCATCATCATTTCTGTCACAACGACGACAAAATGTTTTTGCGAGTCGAGCGAGCGCTGAGAACTCCGAAGCTTTAAGCCATGTAGAAACTTCACTTCCTTTCATTTCTTAATGAATGCAAAGACTTTCGCACTTTTGACACGCCGCGCTTCTTCTTCTGCGTGATGTTCTGTCCGGTTGGAAGGAAGACCTTTTCTGTTTCGTCTTCTTCAGCTGCCACATCTTTACGTGCGTTACGTTGTGTTTTCGGGGTGGGAGCCTTTGTGGGTTTTTGTTGCAGACACTGGCGACTGAAGGAAAGAAGACGGCTCTGTGCCGATCGGACCGCTTCCTGTGACGGAGGTCAGTCGGGCGACCGGGTGACTGTACGCCTGAGAGGATCAGAACAGCGTGCCGGTTTGTGTGGTCGCTGCAGGTGGTGTCCACGTGAACTCCACATTCCTGCTTTTTAAAATCACTCAGCAGTTTGTAGATCGAGTTCCTGCTTTCGCTTCACGTTGACGAAAACCGACGAAACTTCTTTAAACGCATCCAAACGTGAAGGATCGAGTTCTAAAAGGTTTGTGCGAGGCTCAGAGAAAGGCTTTGACCTTTCAGCCCTGAGTGTTGTCTGCAGGCTTCGTCTCAGGCTGTGTTAACGGCTGTTACATCCGCAGAGGAGTTTATATTTGTCACTATGCATCTGAGACATCAGATATGATACACCCCAGAAGAGCTGGGGTGGAGGTGGGTTGCCAAGAGGCTTGTAAAAGCACCTGCAGCTGTTTATAGGTCAAATACAAGCCCAGTTTACGGTTGGAACAGACTGTAGTATAGATGGTGTACTCCCAAATATTTTCCATGAACAAATAGTTGACGATGGGGGGATTTTGAATATCCTAAAACATAATCAATTAATCATTTCAGGGGAAACGTAGGGCAGAAACAACCCTGGGTGCTTCTTGGTATAAACTATACAGTCAGTGTGCTGTCAGATTATAGCGAGCACACCCACTGTAGTAGTAACCGATCTGTAGTAACCATGAACTGTGCAAACATGCCAGAAATGTGCAGCTTAGCATAGTGCTAATTCTTTTCCATTGCACAGAAAGTAATAAATGAAGGACGGCAGGAGCCCAAAATCAAGCAGCAACTTTCAGCGGTGAGCCAGTCCCCATAGACTGGTATGTTAAAATGAACAGCTTTACAGTAGAAATATACAGCCTGGTAAAAAACACTGTTAGAGATAATTTCCTCCGCCTAAGAAGTCTGAGCTCCAGTTTTGGCGACTGAAATTCTGGAATTTTATTTGTATTTTACAGCGAGTGACGTCCTGGTAGCTACAGCTATCCTTTATAACCAGTCTGCTCTCCAAAACACGGCTGGTGTGAGTTACTGTTAGAGGCCTGCAGCCTGTGAGACACAACCCGGGGCAGGAAAGGTCAAAGAGCCGTGAGCACAGGTGGAGGTGTAACTCTGACTGTGGGGAGTTTCAGACACGAGGTTGGTCTGAAAGCTGCTGGTTTTAAAAAGAGATCAGCAGGACTGTGAAGTCCACCAATAATGTCATAAAAAACTGATCGCAGCTCAGTCTCTCTGTGCTGCGTTCAGGCTCTGATCACATGACAAGATTTTGGGTTTTGCGGCGTTACAAGAAATATTGCATGATGTACTTTCTGTGCGACGCCCCCGCAGACATGGGGAGGTTTAAATGATTTATTGAGACACTAACAGCCGAGTTGTGTAACTCTGATCCGGTCTGAACAGGACTGAAGCTGAACGACGAGCCGACCGCGACCTGCCCTGTGCAGGCGTGTTGGAGCTCTGCGTGATCAGGATTTAACGGGTTAAAACGCCACAGCATGCGCTCACTTTGTCTGTTATTAACACGACTGTGTGTTTGGTTTTGATGAGGACGGGCACACTGAGCTCTGATTGGTCCATTTGTTTATGTTGAATTGACACGATGTGTGCAGCGGTTCAAGAAAAGAAAATTTGAATTTTAAATTTAACTTCAAGGAAAAGATGAAGTGGTCGGTTATTGATTAGTGAATCAAAAGATTCCAGAACAGGTTTTTATGTCGTGGATGTGAATGTGTTTGGATAAAACGCCCGACGCTCCCACTTTCACTCCCTCCACCGTGATGCATTCAGGTGTCGGCCGATGGGGGGCTTTGGAGCGTTTCTGACACTGCCCCGCTTTGTTTAGACAAAGAGCACTGCCCTGAAAACTGTTTCACTCCAACCTCGTCTGAACTTCACACAGCTGAAAGGAAAAGATTTCCTGTCATCTTTCAAAATAAAAGTCAAGAGTTTAAGGAAGAGCAGACGTGCAGCTCCCTGGGTGGATGCTCAGGATTGAAAGCTCCCTTTATTGCGTCCACCCCGAGTACGTTTCTTCCTTGCACTGCTCTGTGACGGCGAGATCTTTTCCTTTCCAGAGAGTAAAGTTTAGACGTTCAGCCTGAGTCGCTGCACTGCCCTCTCCAACCTCTAAGACTTTCCTTCTTCTCTCACTCAGACCCTTTACTTCTCTCCGATGTTACCAGCCGAGTTTCCCAAAAAGAAAACCGGGAAAAAAATGAAACAAGTCTCCATCAAACGCGTCCTTCCTCCTGCACACGTTCTATCACTGCCTTCACCGTTCTCAGCGGGAGAAAATCACCAGGACTGCAGCATGTATGGAAAGTCGTTAGTGCCATTCGTGCTGCGATCCTGTCTCTGCAGCTCATACTGTGGTTCCACAAGTTCAGCCTCTGTCGTCACGCTGGCTCAGAACAATCCTGAGAAACTTCTGTCATCATAAAATCATTTGTAAAGATATTTTTGAGTCATAAAGATCAGAGATGGAAAACCTCTGCTCAGGCTGAAATGTCCCTCCACTGTACTGTCCCTGGTTCCACATCTAGATTGGACCAAGTCCCCAAAACAGTCCCGGCTGTTCTTCTGATCCTGATTCTGTTGCTGATTAACAGGAAGCTCTCAGAACCTGAATAAGCAGCTGCTCATTTTAGAACTAGGCTGGGCCAGTTTGTACCATAAGGAGCAGCAAGTCAGTGTAGCCGTATTTAAGTAAGTTACTAAAAACACCTTATGTGCCAAGTAAGAGAGTAACGTCTGTTGGCGAAAAGAGCGTAGGGATAAAAACAGAGCAAAGGTTTAAAGAACAGTTAAAACAACAACTGCTGATGACGTTCTGCACGTTTGTTACATAAAAGTCCCTTAACCCAGGGGTGTCCAGCTGTAGTCCTCCAGAGCTGCTGTCCGCAGCTTTTAGATGCATCCCTACTCCAACACAGCTGAATCAAAAGGTTCGATTCCCTCTTCAGCAGACATCAAGTTTGGCAAAGGCCTAATAACGAACCATTCATTTGATTCAGGTGTGTCAGAACAAGGATGCGTCTAAAAGCTGCAGGTAGCTCTGGAGGACTGGAGTTGGACACCAAACGAGGAGCTCGGCCTGCAGATGAACGAGAGTTTGAACTTTGATGTGTTTGTTTTTGGGAAACTCGTCACCTCCCGTCGGCCGACACCAAGCTGCAGAGATGACACTTAAAAACACTCTGATCGGTGGAAGTGGAGGGTAAAAGGAGGCGGGGTCAAGCGGGGCGTGGTTGGTGAGGTTGTAAATGGATAAATGGACTGAAGGGTGGAAATGAATGGACCAGTCACAGTCTGCTGCGCTGCCTCTGAGAATGTCTTCCAGTTTGGGGTTCTGGGTCGGACCGCGAGGACTGGAACACGAGCGGCTCGGCACGAACGCTCTCCTCTTAATGTTTCTGTAAGCGTCAACACAACCAAACCACTCGACAGAAATGTTGTACCGGGTGTCTTTTCTACCACATCCTCTGCTTCAGGCTCAGCAGGAGACCCAGAACCAGTTTCAATCTAACTGCCTTCAAGTTACGAGATAAGTTCGCCTCAAAAATCATGTGAGAGCCCTTTTGTACGGAGGAAGCAAAGTGCCAGTCACATAACCAAAACATATGTCATAAATCTCAGTTTATTATCTAAATAAATCTAAAATCTAGATAGAAATTAAATGTTGATGTAGTGGCCATCTTACTTTCTTCTTATAGTTCTCTCTTTGTCTTATATTTAAAATAACCACACTACGGACGGACGTGCGACTGTTTTACGCGTCGGTTTGTTAGCAAAAAACCGTCCACTTGATTATTTTTCACATAAATCTTTCACAATAAAGCTCAAGATCCTGTTGAGACTTTTCAAAATAAACTAAAATGATGAAAATATACATTATTTCAGAATATGCATCAAAAAAATGATCTCAAATGCAAACATGAAGTAACTACAAATGGCGCTCACATTTGAGCTCGTATAGCACGCTAGCACACGACAGCAATGAAACAAAAGCAGAAAAAAAAGGAAATAAATTCAACATAGAGGGAAAAAAAATCAGCAACAACTTAGTAATAAATGTAATAACTTTCATAGATAAAATAATTTCTACTGTTGTTAACCATATAATTTAACTTTTATATGTTAAAGTAAATAAAAATGTTGTTTTGATTTATTTACATGTGACGCCAGATGACATTTGTCACCTTTCACAAACTCACACGAACGCCTGCGAAGAAAAGATTTTAGTTGCGTATCAAATATTTGAGAATGTCTTAAAGTGTAAGAAAAACCAGATGTGTGCGTTCGTTCGCTGCTTTAAACGTCCACAGTGTTTCTTTCGTCTCCGTGCTGCCTGTTGTCATTTTACTGAGACATTCTCAAATACTTTAACTCGAGTCTTCTCAAGTTAGCAAAAAATAAGTGCAGGGTTTCAAATCCTTTATTTCACAAGCACAAAATCAGAGCGGGAACATTGAACCATCGTTGATAAGGCTCGCATCGATGGTAATCTGCGTCACCTGAAGGCAGCATGAGTTTGTAAACCGGTTCATGAGAAGCAGAAAGTGTAGAAAAGACAAAAGTCTGTGTTTTAAAGCGTTCAGGGTTCGACTCTGAGCTCTCTAGAAATTAAACGATGGCAGTTTTAAAGTTTCCTGCTTATAAAAACTGAGACGCTCAGTTTTTTTACTCAAAAACAGTGAGATGTTGAACCTGTAGGGGGCACTGTCGTATCACAAAATGATGATGTCATTACGAAGCGACGCAGGCCCAGGAGGAGGGTGAACGTCACCGAGTTGCAACGTGTTTGTCGAACCTAAAATCTCTTGCTCTTTCTTTGTGTTTGCTGATGTTTGCACCTTTTCGGACGCACCTCCATATAAAAACGCATCATATATTAGAAGAAAATCATCGCAAATACGCAGCAGGATGAAAAAAGAGTACTGAAAAATAAAAAAACATATAAGAGCATCAGTGTCTGTCTGTGTTTTTTACTCCTGACGATGAACTTGTTTGTCTGTGTACATGTTAATCTGCTCTGCTCATTCTCAGCTGCTTTGCATGAGTCACAAAATAATCCTTCTTTATCTTATCCTGGCCCTTTGGACAGCCCATCCTTCAGGGCAACTTTCTTCTGATTGGTTGCTCCTCACATAAAGGAGGTTTCAAGGGCGTAAGGGCGGGGCTTCTGTGCAGACATGACCATTTAAGGATATCCACTGCACACAGACCCTGGAAACACAATAAGCAACAAAGTCGGCCTCTGTGTTTTAATCTGAAATGAATCCTCATGCTCTGGCCACTGTTTCAGTTCAATTCACTTTTATTTTTAACTAACAACATTTCACAACAACAGCTGCCTAAAGACGTTTCAGCAGCGCCTGCTTAAAACAGGATTTCTGTACGTTCAGCTGTTCAGTCCATAAGCACGTTAGTTCGTTAGTCTGTCCCAAAATATTTGAGATTAGTGAGTTTGTGATTTTAATGTGTAAAGAAAATGAAAGAATCGTTTAAAACAATATTGAGAAAAGGTCAGAGTAGCACAGATATCGCTCATTTTTATTTGAAGTTGTAACTTCAGCAGACTTGCTTCATGGTGATAAAGGGCCTCGTTTATCTGTCATCAAATCTCCTGTAAGTCCGAGGATTTGTATTCGAATGACTTCGGTCCTGCTGCATAAACACAAAACGCACAGATTCAGACTTTAGGCCACAAATAAAGCTCGTGTATGTCACGTTGGGATCTCTGAAGCAGCCGCGGCAGGAAACACTCAGGTGTTTTTGTGGTTTCCCACTAAAAAGCTCTCAGTTATTCCCGAGATGGTCTAAAAGCTCATCCAGGCACTCAGCGGCTGGTTTCCACTTTACGGGCGACGACCTCGCAGGCGGCTTCATCCAACTTTAACAAGGAGAGACACAAAAACACGACCATCAGCCGACATCACAGCAACAAGGAGGAAACACCGTCAGCCTGACCTCTGGGATCCAACAGCATCTTGTGGTTAAGCAGGTGGCAGGTTTTATTTTGAAAGAAATGACTTTTATTGTGAAGCATCTAATTACAAACCAATTCACACGGTTTGAAGTGACTCCGAGAGTTTCATTTCTAAATCTGGTCACACAGTTAGCTGTGAGAGTTTTACTACGAAGCAGCTTTAGCATTTTATTTTGTCTCTGAGCTCTTATTTTGAAACAGTTTACTGTAAAAATGCTCAGAGGCTTTTACTGTGAAGTTACTAGGGGACTTTTATTGTGAAGCAAGTAAAGGAATTTTGTTGAGTTTTAATTGCCACTTTAAGTCTTTTAATTTGAAGGAGCTTTGTTACCTTTATTGTGAAACTGTTGGTGGGCTTTTATTGTGAAGTCATAGGAGGACTTGTTTGCTTTTAATTTCAAGCATCTTTGTGCTTTTATTTTGTGTGTACTGAGAGACTTTTATTGTGAAGGAGCAGTAGTGCCCTGACCCAGCTTCAAGACTTCTATTTTGTGTGAAGCTTTCATTGTGAAGCAAACCATAGACTTTTAAGCGTTTACTTTGAAACATCGTTGTGACTTATTGTAATCGATTTGGTGATTTTCTTGCAAAGCTTAGGATTCTTACTGTGGAGGCTTTTACTGCTCAAATGTGTTTCAAGACTTTAATTGTGAAGTGTTTGTGTGACTTCCTGCTTTTAATGTAATCTTTTGGATTTTAATGTAAAACAGCTGTAGGGCTTTTATTATAAAGAAGATGGGGAGGGCTTTAACTTTGAAGATGTTGGAGAACTAATGCAAGGGCTTTTATTTTAACAAGTGAACTTGAAAAGGTAAACTCAAAATTAAACTGATGGACTTTTACTGTAAAGCCGTTTTAGTGCTTTTACTTTGAAGGAACTTCGTGAGTTTTTTTTTTTCTTTGTAAACGGTAGGCTTTTATTGTGGAGCCACGATGGTTCTTCGCGGGGAAGTAGGTAAAGGGGTTTTACTTTGAAGCAGCCTGGGGATCTCTACTGTCTCATCTACAGATGAGAGGCTTTTATTGTGAAGCAGCAGCTTGGAGACTTTTAATGTAAAACATCTATGTCGGGGGTCCCCAGTCCCAGTCCACGAGGGCCGGTGTCCCTGCAGGGTTTAGATGTGTCCTTGATCCATCACAGCTGAATTAAATGGCGAAATTAGCTCCTCAACATGTCCTGAAGTTCTCCAGAGGCCTGATGATGAACTAATCATGTGATTCAGGTGTGTTGACCAGGGTGAGATCTAAAGCCTGCAGGACACCGGCCCTCGAGGCCTGGGATTGGGGACCCCTGATCTATGTGACTTGCTGTATAGGGTTTAATAGGCTTTTACTGTGAAATTACAAGGAGGCTTTTACTGTGAAGCTGTAGGAGGAATTTTAAGGTGAAGCTGGATCAGAAACTTCAGGTTTAGTCTGCTCTGATCAGTCACACCTTTATTGATTATTTATTGATCCAAAAATGAACTGGCTGGTCCTCCATGTCAGTGCTGTAAAGGTGGGCTGTATGAGTTTAATTTCCTTTAACGCCTTCAGGAAGAGTACGGCTGCAGAGCTTTCCACTGAATTTCCACCAGTTTTACACATTTCAGTAGTTTAGATCAAATCTTTCATCCTCACTCCATTAAAATTAAAACAGCTGTTGGTTACCGTGAAGAAACATGGGAATTTTATTGGGAAATACCTGGGTAGCGTTTTCTCTGGCGTCATCGAGTCAACGGGTGAGAGGCTTTTATTGTGAAAGATTCAGAAAATTGGGATTGATCAGGTTTTATTTTTCTCTTATTTTAAATGTACTTCACCACATTTGAACGTCAGTGAGCCTGCAAAGCTCAGACTGCTGACAGACACCACCAGGGGGCGACATCACACCAGGCTGCAACTTTTAGTCCAACCATTGTAATCAGATTACATTTTCAGACTGAAGCAGCACTGCTGTTGGTTCCCAGCTGGAGTTTCTGACGATTTCCTTAAATAAAACTAGTAAATATTTTACTAGTTTCAAATCTTGATAAAAATGTGAATGAAATAAAAACATGAATAGAAAAACGCAGCGAATTCAAAAAAGCATCACAGATAGAAATGAATAAAGCGCCGTTATTTCAGAAACGATCATCCATCCTAACACCAAACAAGAGACCTGTTAATGGAGGGGGGGGCACCTTCACGGAGCTCTGTGTGTGTGTGTGTGTGTGTGTGTGTGTGTTATTGGGAAATAACTCTCATCGATGTCGCAACAGAGTGAGAGAGGAGGAGGAGCGTGGACCGGAATCCGCGGAACTTTTACTTCCTCCACGTAAACACTGCGTCGCTCGCTGCGCCTTTTACGCGCTTTTAAGACTCTTTAAAGTTTGTGCGGACCGAGTCCAGCTGTTAACATCTGTCAGCATCTGTCCACAGCTGTTCGAAGACTCGCTCTACCCTCCCGCGCCTTTAATTAGTCGGCACGTGATGTTAACCGCGGCTGCTTAATTACCCGGAGCAGCTCCGAGCGTCACTTTGGAGGAGTTCCCGGAGCACCGGGGCCTCTGTGGGAGATTTACAGCCGAGATCGAGCCCTGACACGCGGCCGTTAATCACCAGAGCCCCGCTGCTCCCAGAGGGTGAGGGAGTGAGTGAGCCGCAGGACTCTGGCGCCTCACACTGGACCCGGACACTCCTGGTTCTGTCAGCTGTTCTGACAGCCCCGACCGGACTCACACCTCTCACCCCCGGAGGATCTGCTGCCAATGTAAGTGACCGCCTGCTGGTTTTAAATGTACTGTTTCCTCTACGGACCCCGCCGCTGTGCTTTACCAGGCTCGGGTTGGTTCTGCGGGCTCACTGACGGAGAGCCGCCGTCAGTGAGAGTACCACCGCGCACACCGGTGATCCGCAGCGGGCTGTCCGGACGCAGAGCCTCTCTGCTGGTGTCCGTGCGCCTGCATGCCGAGTTTCATTCTCAAAATCTCACAATTCCTGCGTGGATCGATTTTCTTTATCAGAAAACGCGCGTCAGCTGATATCATGTTTATGTGTCCTTCGGTTCGGCGTGCGTGCCCTGCCCCGACCTGCCCGCGCTCAAAAACATGTACAACTCCAGTAAATCATTTACGCTTTGTCCTGCTGCTGTGAGTGGAAGTTCAAATTCTGATATGTTATGAGGGCCGAAGTTTACGTGAAGGACAGAGAGCTTCTTAAAATAATGAAGTTCGTTTCACAGCTGTCCGGATGTGAAGGCAGCTGGAAGTGGACACTTTATAAATGTCAGTCTGACGTTTGGAGGACAGTCTCCATCGATCTGGTCCCGATAATCCGATTATAGTCAGTCAGGTCAGAGTCTGCAGTGATCAGCAGAAACATAACTGCAGCCCACATGCCTCTTCATCATCATCATCATCACATCTAAGCACTGAACTGATGAGGCAGTGCAGTAACAACCCCCCCCCCCCCCCCCCCCCAGAAATGAAGAAAAACAACAAAGAAATAAAAGCGAGCAGATGAGTAAACTGTAAATGAAGTGTGCAGATGGAGTGATGAAGATTTCCTCAGAGGAAGCTGCTGTTTTGTTTTGTGTGTTTGTTTAACTCACTCAGTCTCTAAAAAATGGGCAATCTAGTACCCAGAATCCTCTGGGGCGAAGCTCGAGGGGGTTATATCTCTGTACCTGTGATGAAGCGTATCGCTCGCTCGTGCAAACACACACAGGGTGTGTGTGTGTGTGAGTGAGAGAGTGTGTGTGAGTGATGGATGGCGTTGGTGAGCAGCTCTGGGTCTGTATGTCCCTCCTGGGATCCACTAGTTCTGCCTGATTGTCCACCGTGACTCTTTATGTCCCTCCGTCTGTCTCTTGCAGCGCCTCTCCATCTTTCTTCACCTTCTTACTCGTTTTCTGCTGTGGTGCATTTTCCCGTGGCTCGGCTGTTCGTTTGTTATTAAAATGTCAAACAGGAACAGCTGAGATCTGTGGCCTCTCACATCTCAGGTGAATGAACGT